CATACCTACCTTCCGTGTGGACGGCGGAGACGTAGGTCCAGTTGTAGCGCTTGACAATGTCGAGCATGGCCCTGGCTTGCAGCGTGTCGGAGGGGACCACCCTGAGGAAGTATTTGTAGAGCGTTTTGTCGCTCAGGTCGATGCTGGTGGCGGAGTAAGCGATCTGGGGGATGTCGAAGAGCTGGAGCAGATTTTGGACTTGGATAGCAACCGAGCTGGAGCCGGGGCCGATGACCCCCGCGATGGGCTTTTTCACTCTGGCCTGGGGCTGGGGCTGCGAGTCGGAAATGCAGCGGGTGGCTCCGTCCCTATCGTCCCTGATGGAGATGAGGGAGTCCCGTATGAACTCAATGCTCTGCTCCAGGGCCACCGAGGAGTGCCAGCAGGAGTCTCGGATCTCGCTGCCCAGGGTGATGTTAGGTAGTAGGACCGGATCGGCGTTGATTTTATCCAAAGTGTGAAACATGGCTTCAACTCTCTGGATGCCGTATTGCTCCCGGATTTCCCCGCACTTCCTCTCGGGCACTTTCTCAGCTGGCGGCTGGTGATGGACAGAGAAGAGGGCCCCGATGATGACATCCCCATCCGTCCGAGCCACCGACCGCTGCGAGGAGGCTGCGGAGAGGAGCACCTTGCGCCCGGCGCTCCTGGGCAGCATGTCCATCTCCAGGAGCAAAGCAGGAAAAAAGACCAGCAGCACGCCAATCATTTTGTTGCACGATGTCATCCAGACCCAGGTTACCAATTTCAAGGACTCCTCTTGCCTGCACATGGTTTAAGGACATGTAGGAAATGGCATCCGCTTCCCCACACCAGTGCCCAAGTTGCTCCAAATAGCATCACAGCGAAGTCTTACAGCATCGCTCTCAAAGGTGCCCAGGCAGCCGTCATCCTAGTGACTTTTAACCTGGTGACATAGAAACAGGGGATAAAACACACTAATCGGGAAAGTGATGTCAAACTAGAGCTCAATAAAGCAACCCCACACAGTTCGAGGAGATGATTGCTTTCGCAAATGCCCAGGTCAATTTGCTTCAGTAAGGGCTCTCGAAAGGAAGTTTCAAGAGGGATTAAAATAATTTATTTGCCTTGACATATGATCATGCATACTCACATATGTTAAGTTTATACGATCCTTTTCGTGGACGCTTTTCAAGCCAAGGTGGCCGTTTCCCACACCTCCAGCCAGCACACACCCTCCCCCCCGCCCCCGGGAAGTTTTGAAAGTTTCACGAGGTAGGTAGCTCATCGGAGAAGCATCCTAGCCTGGCCGCAGCGGCCCCAGCCTAGAAAGCGGGGTGAGCAGTGCTTCTCTTCTCGCATTCTGACTACCTGAAGGCATCTTTGTCTGCTCAAGAATTTCCTTTCCCAATACAGAGAGGGGTGAAAAGAGAGAGGGTGCAATCTGCCCTGCCAGCGATGGGAAATGTCATTTAAAGGTCAGCGAAAGGAGGAAGAAAGGGACCGCTTTACAGTTTAGATTAACTTTGCCGTGTGTAGGGGGCAAAACTGTAATTCAGCCAGGGACACACATATGCAAGCGGGGGGAAATACACACTAGTTACTAAGGCAACCACAGGCAAAGCCCTGATGTGCCTTACCGGCACGCCTGCCTCGCATTGTAGGCTTCGGGCGGGGAGAGGCGGCCAGCCCGGCGGCTGGGCTTGGAGGCTTTGAAACGCCGCGGTGGAAAAGGGGCGACCGGTGCGGCTGTCA